AGGGTTCACTGTATTCCCTTGTTCTGTTTGTGTGACAGAACCAAGCGTGCCTCTTGGTCTAAGTACAGAATCTTAGACTTCATGAACATGAAGTACCTGACATTCTTCTCAGTGTGGTCCGTAGTTTGTTATGATCCACGCAGTCTAATGCCTTTGCACAGTCCATAAAACACAAGCAAACATCTTTCTGCTATTCTCTGCTTTCAACCAAGTTTCATCTGAGGTTGGCGATGAGAACGCTCATTTCATGGCTTCTTCGGAATCCAGCTGGAATTTTTGGCAGTTCCCTGTCAGTGTAACCATTGTGGAGTTGTCCTCGGCAAAATTTCACGTGCCTGTGATATTAGTGTTATTGTTCCATACTCCCCAGTGTCCAGTCACCTCGCTTTTTAAGGCGGACAAATACGGGTCTCTTCTGGCTATTTGGCCAGGTAGCTCTTGTCCAAATTTCGTGGCATAGACAGCGAGTCATCAAATTATTGAAACAATTCTACTGATATTCTGTCTTTAAACACATGATATTTTCCATGTTCTGGGAAGGTGATCTTTTCCATTAGTGGGGAGGCTTTGTTTTCTTTGCTCTTTCACTCAAAGTACTGTGAGCACCTTTTCTGTGATGACACGTTGTTACAAAAATAGCTATTAATGACACAAAATATTCCCTCATGCGGGTGCACCCTAATGTATTTTATTCTTCTCTTATGGGACATCTGGCTGGTTTATAACCCTTCACTACTGGAAGTAACTGTTTCCCCTGATTGGTCTTCTTGGTGAATGTGCAGCCACACTGTTCCTTTGGGCTCGAGTCCTGAAATAACAGCACATCGTTCTGCTTTAGCTCCATTATGTAGCGGAGTTTTATTAAAGATGTAAGAAGGCGGTGAAGTACAGACGCCTGAAAGAAGAGTGCAAAACGTGGCAGAAAAGAGAAGCCTTTTCCAAAATGGTCCAGAGCAAGTCCCAAGCCTGTCGAGGCGGGAATTGCAGATGCTGGAAGGACCCGCTCAATAGGAACCTCAGACTTGAAGGTCCAGGAATGCATCTTTTATCTAAGGCCAGAAGCAGGACTGCCTGTGTGATTTGTGGGACCTGGTGTCAACAGAGAATGTGGAGACCTTTGTTTAAACATTTTCGTTTTCAAGCAACCCAGCAGGGTTTTCAAGCCCCGGGCCCTCTCAGAGCAGGGCCCTGAGCGACTGCCCAGCCCCACAGACCAGGAAGCCGGCCCTTCCCACAAGTGGTGTGATCCCAAGAAACTTAGGCCAAGACCGAGCAAGCCTAAACGCCACTCTGTTTATTTACAGCATTGTGGGACAATTACATGGAGCCGAGTTTTCAGAGGTCCCTTTGAGACGCTGCCTGCCAAGGTTCTGTATGCTTGGAACAAGCCACTTAATTGTGTACATTTTTCAAAAGCACAAAACCCTAGATGATCTCTCCACCAATCAATCATCTGTCAGTTTGTCATACTCTGCTGACTGGGGAGTTGCTAAGACACGGCAAACCCTGCCACCATCCTCTCTAATACCTGCAGGATGATCCATGGCGGACAGGTTTCAGCAGTACTCCCAGGCTAAGACAGACTAGGAAGAAAGGGCTGGAGCTCTACAACAGACAACTAGCCCACGAAAGCGTTGTGGGTCACAGCGGACAGTTGTGCAGTGCAGTGTTGGAAGGTGAATGCCCTCGGTTGGGAGGCATCCCGAGTCCACAGTGGTGACAGGAATGGGTTCAAACACAGCAGTGATCCAGAAGACGGCCCAAACCCGGCAGTGCTATGTTCTTTTGTGCGTTGGGCCACAACAGCCCTTCACAACGACAGCAGGTGATCTCCGGAAGGGCCCGAGTCCCCTCTCTGGACACCGAGTCGCTGGGAGCAAGGACTTTTTATTTTCCCTAAACATATTGCCTCCAGGAACGTTATATCAAGTAGTTAGTGTATAAATGCGTTAATTCCACAAATAGTGGTTTAAATGGTGAATAAGCCAAACTATTCCACTCATGTGTGTCCTTCATTTCCATCCAG